TTTCTGCAATCTACATAATTGATATTATTATCATGACACAATATTAATCTTTAATGTAACGACAAACAAAATGTTCCTCTACAACTTGAAAAATATCTCGTTTAATCAAATTAGTCTGAGGACTTCAGTTTTGATTCACTCTGCAGTGATAAAACAGGAAGGAACGTTAACGCTCAAACATATGTCGCCATGACAACCAAAACACAAATTTGTTTCCTGTTTTTGTGTTTCACTCACACAAATAGGTACAAACTTTATTTCACACGTGTAGATACTTTTACATTTCTAATTTCGAGTTTAAAATGAAATATAAAGTTAATAGTAAAATCGAGTCAGTCAATAGATTGAGTAGACAAAAACAAGAAATAAAAACAAACCAGATGATGAAGTGCACATTCGTTCACTGTTATTTGTTCACACATTGGGAGCTGTAATCGTAGTTTTATGTTTTGATTGTAGTATATATTTCAATTGATTTCCTTCATTCTAATTCATGAAATTTGCATTTTGGTTCTTCAACGTCATTACAATAGGAACATAATCTGTCTGTTATTGTTTTTTATGTAGTGTAATCGCAATGGCAACATTTACTCAGTCTGTTGCCAACGTTTACAATTCGACGACACAAACGTAGATGTTACTACAGTTGTTGTCATAACATAAATTAATGAACGAGTTGTCAATTACATATGATAATATCAATGACATCTGTTTTGCTATATTTTGTACTAACCCTACTAAAATTGTTTAACAATACCCTTGTAATTATTGATACATTAACAACATATTACACGTATAGGAATTATTTTGCTTTAACCTTTACGGAGAAATATAAGAGTAGTTTTGTTTAGAACGAGTTGCGTAATTTGACTCTCAGATGGCGCCATGGTTTCGGCAGTCCTGGAATTTGTTCTGAGAGTTGTCTAGTATTTGGACATCAAGAAACATTTAAATGGCCGAGAAGTTACTTTCAATGAATACTGTGATATTATTATACATGCTAAGACTGATATATTGATATACACACGGCGGGTCTATTAATCCATAACCGTTTAATAGGCAGGTAAACGGTGAACATAATTACCGGTCAGATAATCATAAAATTGAAAGCTAAGTTTCTGACACTTACAGTACTTACAAATTGAAACACAATGGTGGTGGTGGTGGATGTGGGGATCGCCAGCCTATTTTTTGAGAAAATGATGGTTGTATTTTAGTGGAAAGAGGACGTTTTGTCAGTATCACTCTTTTACCATAGGTTCCTATGGCATATTTGTAGTCTGGTCATATAGGCTGAAGAAAAAAAAAATATTTATTGGAAATGATTTGGTACTTTTTGTTGTCCTGATTAGTTCAAAAATCTGGGTTTTAAACATTATAAAACATTGTGTTTTATAGAATTGTTCTAAAAATAGCGAAGTTTCTCAAAATACGTAACTGTAACACACAACAAAATGTTATTTCATGGTGCCATGAGACAGTAATATTTATGCGATTTATGACCAACTTCCTCAAACATTATGAGTAGGCCTAATCTTTTAGGACTATAGCCAATAATAAAACCCTATGACTACTCATCTTCAGTTCTAAGAAATTAGTATAAATACCGAATTACTATACATTTATACTATTTAGAATGAGTGTACCCTATGCAGTATCTCCCCAATAGTTTTTGCGATTAATTGTCGCATTCGAATGTATGACGAATACTCTGCAAAGCTCCCACGTGAATACAGAGTATATGCAATCATTGCTGTTTTATATAAAAAAAACAATAGGTAAGAAATGGCATTAGAGGTTAGGATCGTCAGCCAGCAGAAGTTCAGCACCAATATATAGCAAATTTGATCAAAATCTGCTTTACAGTTTTTGAGATTTTACAAACACATGCTGAAATGAGATAAATAATATGCAAAAAAAACATGGCCCTATGTCTGCGCAACATTCCCTTATCAATGACATACGAGTAATCTCTGTTCAGTATTTAGTCATTATATCAAAAATAAACAAAAGATGACATTGTGAGTTTTCAGCAATTACTACAAATATCTTAAATTTCTTATATCTTAATCTAATCCAAGATATGCCAAAAATTATTAACATACATGTCACAGTTAGCATAAATATATTTCATTGGAGATCCCAGAAGAGTAGCAGGATACGCAACATAGTGTATCAATGACAATATCCAACAAGTGCACATATGGCATAATCCATGGCAAAGTATCACTCGAAAGCCAGTCCGAAGTTACACCAAAGTTGTGAGCTCGTGTGATAGCGCCACCAGTGGTGATAATAATTGTTCACAATAAAGATTGATATGACGGGTGTAGTACACACAAGGCAGCATGTACCGATGCATGCAAGCTAGAAATACTGAAATGGCGCATCATTAACAATTTCAGAACAAATAACTCTGAAGTACTTCATCCAAGTTAGAGGTAGTATTTGTTTCGAAATTCAAAAAGTTAGCAGTGTTACGGAATGTACAGAAACTGAAATATCAACTTTTAAATTTAGTCAATTAGATAATCAGTAGTATTGTTTTATGTTATTACAATTACTGAGAATGGATTCATTTAGTATTTAGTACATACCTAAACATAGTATGCTAGATTCACGTTGTCTGTATTTTTGATACAATTAAGATTATCTTATTTATAAAATATTTATATATATGAAACTAAGCATCAAGATATTCTTTTACACTACCTGTATCTGTAAACTTGTGGAAATAATACAAGAAAAGTTCTCAGTCACATAGCTGTTATTGTTTTTAAGTGGTACGAGTTTGAAACACTATTGAATGTCGACAAATTACATGAGGGCGCTAGAACAGGGAGAGTTCACAAGACTTGGGCAAAACTATGGGTTTATATGTTATATCTGTCTTTGGTTTATCACTATTTTTCTAACCAAGCCTTTTTTATTCAGTAACCAACACTTACCTTCAAAATCGTATTTTGTTATGTATTCTTTACTCATGAACTGGATAGTTTTCTTTTGCTAGTTTCAGACCCAAAGTTGTTCTCTCATGATTACCAGGTGTGAATATGCTACGAGGGGCGTTCAATAAGTAATGCCTCTGACCCACTTCCAGTTGTCTGATCTAGATGAAATGTTCATGTGTAATTATTTACATCTCTATGGGTTATGTGGTTTCTGATTTACAGGTGTTTGAACTGAGTCAGGTGTGAAATGAAGCCAGT